AATTGAACTGAATTGTTTACAGTTTGTTGTTTCCATAAAAATCCTTTTGTGGATTAATCGCTGTGTTGTTGTCTATGCAAAAAAACACACAAATATATATACTTAGATAAGTAATTATGGTTAAAATAATTTAGTTTTTGTAAAATAGAGTATTATATATAAAATATAAACTATAAAGCGCGTTATACTATAAACATTTTTTTCATGTCGCTGATATAACTCACCTTTTACATTTATAAGGAAGCGTACTTTTTTTTATAGGACATATACACCAGTAAAGTTGTAATAACATAATACAAAGCTAGAAGAAGTGATTAACAAAAGGAAACACCTGAGCGGTTTATGTCAAAATTGTAGCATGTTCGCTGTTTACCATTATTATTCAATCTTTTTGTCTAAACGCTGGCTGGTCCTCGAAAGTAAGGTCGTTTTTTATATTGCAAAAATAATTTAGCTTAAGAACCGACCAATAGGTAAGTACATATATAATATCGACACGTATACATGTTGTACAATTTACCTAATTCAAAATACTTTATTGGTACTGCCAAAAATAAAACCGAATTCAATTTTTAACCCTGCAACAAATTATAAAACCAGATCATTGAAATTTTTGACGTAAACACCTAATTATAGATAGATATTACTGTGTGCTATTCAGGGAATGACAGTGAATATGGGGAACCATGGGCTAAAACTACTCAATTAATCAAACTAATTACCATTTTGTCAAAAAATTATTTTCTTTGGTTATAGGAAAAAAATAGGATAATTCTTTGTAGTTCTGTTATATATAAAGTATAAAGTGTTTAGATTATTTTATTTGGTCATTTTTTACATTGGTTGATATTGGAATTGAGACATGAAATTTAGTCAGGTAGGTAGTACTCGAAAAAGGTTGTTAAAGGTGTATGTTTGGAGCAGGGCGTTGTACGGGTGCGAAACATGGACAGTGGGCGCGGCGGAAAAGAAAAGGTTAGAAGCGTTCGAAATGTGGTGTTATAGGCGGATGATGAGGATATCGTAGGTAGAAAAGGTTAGAAATTAAGAGGTATTGGAAAGAATAGGATAACAGAGGACTCTATGGCGAGATAGGTTGGTAGGACATCTTCTCAAGCATGAAGGTCTAGTCAGAGACATATTAGAGGAAGAAATAGGAGTTAGGAGGGGTAGAGGTAGACTTAGATTAGATTACTGTTCGCAAATAGTTAAAGTTGTGGGCTGTTCTAGTTTTAGGGAAATGCGAAGTTTAGCTCAGGATAGGAAAGAGTGGAGGTACATGTCCAACCAGTCTTAGGACCTACGACCTTATGATGATGATGACTTTGTAAGCGTAAGAGAATAAGTAAGTATACGTACATTTCGTTGAAAAGAAACTATACGAAGATTTATACAAATACCGGCGGAACCAAATTCACTCCTACCTGAATGTGGATAAAGGCTGTAGTCGTCTTTTTTCTTTTTTTCGTACGTTACGACTGGTAGTGTCGGATTCCCTTTTACCTTAGGTCATTCCAGAACCATCTAAAGTCCTTTTCAGCCGACAGTTCTCTTAATAATATTTTTATATTGTGCTAATATATTTAATAAAATGTTTGGGAGTGGAGGGGGGTAACTGTTTCCTACCTTTAATCTAATATATTACCAAATGAACTTCTTTATTCTTGCTACTTATATATTTTCTAGCCTTTATCGCACACTTAAAGGGTTGAGAGACAATAATCAATAGCATTGAAGTAAATTTTCCTATTACATACCTTAACCTGTTTAATTTAGGAATGAATTTGACAATACCGTAAATACCTTCAGCCATATTTCTGTATATATGTAATAAAGTAATACCAGTGCTATAAACGCATTTTAAAGCGTTTGAGAGATGTTGTGCTTTATACAAAATATTATGAAATTTCAGTTAATTTGGGGCAGTTTTCAGTGAAGTAGGTGACATTTTCAAATAGATGTGGTTTAAGAAATATATTCTACACGTGATGACGAAGAAATGTATAGTTCTGAAATTTCCACCTGACCAGTACACCAGTGACGTTTGTCTTAAATGAGTTTGATTTTGGGAAAATAATACACGCATATTCATTCAGTAAAATCTATATTGCTAAATCTCTTCAAAATTAAAAAAAAAGATACCAAGTAAAAGTTGTAATTGTATTTGAAATTTTTAGAAGTTACTAATGTAATTACATTATTTAAGCATTGCTTCTGATCAGCGTAAAGTACAACAAAAAGATGGGATAGATTGCTTATTTCGTGCTACTTATAAATACTTAATTGAAATAATGGTTGAGTGTAGGCTTTCACGGCCGGCGTTAATTCTATGTTGAGAGTTTTTCGGGCTGATGGGCCGTGGTCTCTTTGGATTAATTCCTCCAGGAAAACTCTCAACATAGAATTAATTGAAATACTTCATTATTAATGCAAAGAAATAAATAGATTTTTATTTTTATAACGTAATTCAAGATGCAAAACAGATATCATCCCTAACTTCAAATATATTACAATATAAGAAAATAATTGCTTTAAGTAAATATAAAAACATCAATGACAGCATATTTAACCCACCTGATACACATAACAAAACTTTAACGAGTAGATAATTAATTGTAATCTAAATTCTAAATTGTTCACTATATACACGGGGATAATCGTATTTTAGGTACACTTATTTACATCGCTATTGAATATCGTACTTTATGTACGTTGTAATTATTTCAAAAAACTTAAGATTTCGCGTGAAGTTGGGGTTGTTGAGACGACCCACTGGGCATCATCTCTTGTGCTCGCAACCGCAACGTTTCTATTGATGTTCTTCGAGGGGATAACGGTGCCTCGTTCATCGTTTCGGGACTAGAACTGGGCGATCGTTCTTCTGCCGTCGGTCCCGGCGTGGAACCTTGCGGTACACCGTTAGCTAGAACGTATTGCGATAGAAGTGCGTGGAATGACGGAACTGAGAGGGATGATTTCGGAGCCCACGGTAAGCTCAGTGCCGGATTAAACATTGGCGGAAACGGTAATCCCGGCCAGAAATGGTCCACACCCATTGGCGAAATACCCATTTGAGCATGAAAAGCCAATTCCGGTAAACCTGAAACAGAATAATAAACACTCAGTACACCTGAAAACTTTCTATTTTTTTATTTAAACTTCGCTTCCTATAGAGACACACAAAATGTCTGTACATAATTTTGCGAAAAATAAACTAAACTAAAACTGAAATAAACAAAATTAAGTCAAAAAAAAGCTAGCAGGTGCCCCGAAACACCTATCGACCCAGAACCTACTATGAGTATCTGCAACAGTCTGGTCAATCAAGAAATTGCGATATGAGACGCATTAGAACTTTATAGGGACCGTGGAGCACAACAAAGATATAAGTAGGCAAAGGCCTTCATCTATACAGACTGCAGGGAGTGGGAAAAACAAATTCTCAGTCTCAGCAGGGGAAAAGTCAAAACTCTAATGCCTTACAGGTCACAGAGAACTGCGCTACCACAGGAACAAACTGGGAATGACCATCAGTTCTTCCTGTCGTTTTTATGAAGAGAAAGTGAAAAGTTCTTTCCACAAGCGAAAGACGTTACCATACATGCCACTCCTAGAATACTACCCTTTTGGGAAGTTTTCCTGTGAAGCGTTAATGAAACGGTAACTAAAAGGGGGAATCTAAGGGATTACTCGTGCTTTTGAGATCTGAACAAGCCTAAACCAAAGACAACGACAATAATAAAAATGAAATACATAAATAATTAATACTAATGTATTTTGAGTGTGTTATAATATGGAATTCATAATTACATTGCAATAAATTAATCTTGACTTCCTTGAATCTGTGCAAATTATACAACTATTAAACGTGAATGATAAATATCTTCTTTATTCTATGATGATAAAACTGAAGTAAAGGAACAAAGCGGCCATCATCGAAAGTTACGCTTAAGGCAAGTGAGTCTAGCCAAAAAATGTTCTTTTACATTAATGTAACTAACTGCTGGAGCAAACCGTATTACGTTCAACAAAAATATTAATATTTTTCTTTTTTCTTATTAGTAGATATAGGCAATAAAAACACACAAATAACGTTGTAATTTAATTTTTTTAAACACGTACCTACCTATTTGAGATACGATATAAATTTAATTGAATACGTGAAGCTAAGAAATTGCCTTCCCGCAAATCCGACCTTTCTATTACACAGAGGATAAAGAATGAAGCTTTTGCTTACGGCACCAGCATTTAGATCTTATGAGAGTGTCTGAATAAAATCAGAAATAGACAGACAACATATGCAGATGTATCTTCTTTATACACATAAAAGTGAAATTTACCTGAATGTTCTGCCGGATGCATAAATGTTGTTACCTCTCGACCCAGGGCTTTCTCCCTTTTTCTCCATTTGGCTCGTCTATTTTGAAACCAAACCTGCAAATAATGGATATGTTTTATGCACACAAATATGTTATTAAGAAAAGTCTAGTTGAAGATCTTTAAATCCAAACTAAGAAAAAACTCTTGGATTCGAAAAAACCCTAATTGTAGGCCTTTCGCCGATTTAGGGCATCTTCAGGGGTATTTAACTTTAAAACATTTGTGAACCAAATGTTAAATCCAAGATTCGAAAAGTCGCTTAAATTGAAATATCAAAGCAATATAAACAAGCTGAGGTTTGTTTTTCCTACTAGAGGGGATTCATATCGAAATTCATAATTCATTAATCGCAATGAGAATATGTCTAAGTGTTTAGAACAGGTGTGACTGCGACCTGCAGATCACCGCGGTGACCCATTTTATATTAATTTCAAATCGCCTCCATGATTAGGTGATTGAATATCAGGCATATTCTCACATTAAAATTTATGATAAACAAATGTAGAAATTATTATAACAAAAACCAAAATTACAAACTAAACTTACNAAATTGGTACTAATTAATCAATATTTTCATTTTTATATACGGTACGTTTTGGTGCTGTTGTAGATGATTTTGTATGTTATGCTGTTTTGGTGCTATTATAGTATGTTTTTTGCGGGGCGCTTTTTTAATATTGTGCTAGTCTGGAGCTGTTTCAAAGGGTAGTATTTTTGCTATAATTTTAAAATTTATATTTTCGTTTAATTTGTAGGAACTATTTCGGTGGTTATTTAGGTCATTTCAGATATTTCGAGGTAATTCAGTGGTGTTACAATTCTTTTTATTTTTACTCGGGTAAGTACCACTCAATAGCTTATGCCGGACGATGCTAACTTTTCTTCATCATCGAATAGCAATGTATGCATTTTGTTTAGAAAAATTTCTGCTAATGATGAACAAATCTTTTGAATTACATATAGTGCAAGTAATTTTGGTAATAATTTATTCCTTGCTTTAAAAACTTGTTTTTCGTCTGTCTTTCTTTCTTGAAATTTCAATATCTATATTAGTATATTACTATCAGGTTGAAGGCGATGATATTCGTGGCAGCGAAGCCCAGTGGGTGATGGACGCGGTAAAGTCTGTACTACATGTCGTACAGAAAAGACTAATTCAAGTGTGATCTGTGTACAATGATTTCGTGGTTCGACTAATTTCCACCCGGCGGGTGTCGAACTGTTCGCTGGTCCGCAACACCAAGCTTTAGTCGTGAGAACGGGGCCAATTCGTCCAATTATTCACAAAAACCGGCTTATTTGGCCATATTGGATGAAATTGAGCGAGAGCAACAATTTATTTGCCGCGCGGGGAATATTTTATGAGAAAGTTTTCACAGGCAAGGGACTTCATAATGCGACAGTGCGCACACCAAAAGACACCAGATTAAATAGGGTTGAAACAACAATCGCGTACAGAGATTTTTTTATAGAAAATTACGCACCTATTAACATGACTAATTTGTACTTGATATAATAAATATAATGGAATCAAACACCTCAGTACTTTACTGTAGAATTGGTATATACCTATATTTACAGCAATAATTCGCTGTCGGCGAGGTGTAATTTGAAACGGATTTTCTCATCAAGTTCTTTATTGAACAGTTCCCACACGTAAAGAATGAAATCTAAAAACTTCCCAAAATCCATATTACTAATGGTAATGATTTAATTATTTGGCTTGACCAACTTATACTTATTATTTAGTTAAAACAAAATTAAAGTAAAACAAAAATACTGGTGTCCAAGGGAAGAAAAAGCAGGGAAAGAGCGAATATAAAGGAGACGAAAAATTAGAAGAAGTGGCCGATTTTATGTATCTAGGAAGTCAGATAAGTCAGGACGGAAGGAGTAGTAGGGATATAAAGCAGAGGATAGCGCAGGGTCGAGTCGCCTTCGATAAAAAGAAGTCATTTCTATGCTCGCGAACGCTTAATTTAGAAATTCGAAAGAGGTTGTATGTTTGGAGCGCGGCGCTATACGGGTGCGAAACATGAACAGTGAGCACGGCGGAAATGAAAAGGTTAGAAGCATTCGAAATGTGGTGTTATAGGCGAATGATGAGAATACCGTAAATAGAGAAGGTTAGAAATAAAGAGGAATTAGAAACAATAGGGACCGAGGACCCTATGGAAGCCTATAAGAAATAGGCGAAATAGGTTGGTAGGACATCTTCTCAAGTATGAAGGTCTAGTCAGAGACATATTAGAGGCAGAAACGAGAATTAGGAAGGGTAGAGGTAAACCTAGATTAGATTGCTGTTCACAAATTGTTAAGGATGTAGGTTGTTCTAGTTTTAGGGAAATACGAAGATTGTCTCGGGATAGGAAAGAGTGGAGGTTCGTGTCCAACCAGTCTTAGGACTGACGACCTTATGATGATGAAAACAAAATTGTCAATTTTTCTTATGTGCATTCATATTAATTTTTGCAAAAACTTGAAATTATTTAGAGTAAGCATTCTTCTTTATTTTTGTTTGTATATTCTCCGAACAGAAAGCTCATGGTAGTTAGTATTCTAAGAAAACAGTCAGACGACTTGCGATTTCGATTGCAATTCCCACAGAATTCGCAGTATGCAACAGTTTTGTATATATAGATAGCGTTCAGTACGCTGGTTATAGTAATTCATGAAACGCTGTCTAAAGACAGCTTATCGAGTTGGCCTGTATCTGTATTTTATCACAACTTTCTAGAACGTGCTTACGAGATTCACTGAGATGGAAATCGTAATCCATGTCTGACCACGATCAACTTTTTACTTTTTGTTCTGGATAGCTGCTCCATTGTGTTCCATTCCACAAGTCAATATCCTTATGGACTTTGTCGAACATCTTTGAACCAGATGGTGTTCACTACACTGTTTATTATAATTCTTATGCACTCCTCCTAAAGGGTTTAGGATGAATAAACTCTGGATTATGGGAGTTGTTCAAGATCGATTGATTTTGTTTTGTATTTGTATTGTATTTTTGCGTATACTCTTTTTTATTAATTGAAAAAAAATGTACCTAGTTCAGGAATCGGCTAAAAAATACGCATTGTATTCGTATACGCGTGGAACAAAACACGTGGTATTAAAGCGGGCAATATTAAAAATATAAGTGGCTTAAGCAGATCCTTTTCGCAAATAAAGGTTCAATTTAGAATTTGATCCTCATTAAACCAGTCTTTTGTTTTTCAATTGCACTCGAGTGCTACTGCTACTGCCGGCGCTGCTGCCATACATCCATCGCCACCCTTATTCTTTCCTCTCGCTTATTCCTTTGCTGACTATACATATGTGCATCAAATTACCAACTGATGATGTAATCCAAAGGAAATGACGCAGAAAAGTGAATCGCAATAGATACCAAAAGGGCATGAAAAGGGCAATTTTACCGTCAATTGCTTGAACGAATATCGAAATACATATTTCCGAAATAATCCCTTAAAATTAAACGCAAGATCGTGTTGGGCGCGCATATGTTAAAGTTCGGTAACGGTTTACCAATCTAAATCTAATTAACCTTTTAAAAAATTACTGTAGGTACCTATTCTCAAAATAATTTTAATTGATTGAATGGATCCGTCATTACTTACTCCCATAGTTCATTTTTCAGTTTGTGAGAAAACAATTTTTCCAGATATCTTATCAATTTACCATATCTGAATTTTTGGCTCATTAATGTACGCCTATGTAGTAATTAGTTCAGTTAATATTCATTAATGTGTGCTGTTATTATTAACTATGAATTCGTGAAATTTTCAATCCACTAATTCATTTTCCGAAAGTTACCGATTTCCATCCGAATTCTCATTAATTTTAATTAATTGACACCATTTAAAAGAGTTTTATAAATATGCTTATCGATCTAATTTAAGGAAATTTGATTGTTTTGTTATCAAGGTTTAGTCAGAGATTTTAAATTCTCGTTACTCATTTTTATGGTAAAAAAATCCATTATTTATTTTTAACTTAATCAATGTCAGCTTGTACTTTAAATCGGTAAATTTAATTATTAACCAGGCAACAGCTTATTGTAAATATAAATGAGATTATATTATCGTTTAAGTGTTTCTAAAATGAAATCGCAATTACTTCTAAGCCAAAACATCAATTAATTGCATGTCCTATTTTGTCTGAATTTGAATACGATAACGTAATCTTTAGTAAACAAATGTGGAATTTATGGCGTCAGGTGTTCCATAATTCACCAGCAGGTATAACACTGTTAAAGAGAAATTAAATGCAGATGTGTATATTAGAGTTTTCTGGGCATAACTAATGGGCCAGCTTATCACCTATTATATCCCAAACGTGCCCGCGACCAGTCGTAAAATGCCATAGGCCGAAGATCGTTAAAGATTTATGGTAATTGATTTAACTTTTACCGATGAAAGAACCAACAGGTCGCACACGAACTACTGCCACGCTCATTTTCACTCCCCTCACTTGAACGAAACGGATAAAAACATTTACAACTAATATATTATCCTTGTAGTAGTACCTATAGCTACATTGTCCTAACTTATAGTAATTCAAAGTAGTGGGACATAATGCATTAATACTAATATTAATACAAGCTACTATGGGTCAGAAAAGTAACAACACACCGTGATTTCATTTTCGGGGTGGTTGGTAACATGACAGTGAGTAGCACTTCAGACTTTGAGATTTCATTAGTATTAAATTCACAAAGTGCAATTTCTGGCCATTTTGTAAAGTGAAAACAACTTCAAAAATAGTGGTAAAGGTCTAGATGATGGCCCCCACTCCCCTGGGGGGGAAAGAGGAGGTCTCCCCCACCACTGTACCATAAAAAGTTCGTAGCGGTCTCACCCCCATAAAAAATTATGGGTGTTCAAAGTTAATAAATATGTTAATTTTTATACATTTCTAGGCATGTAAACATTTATACAGTCATTCTTAAACAATATTCAAAGGTAAAACTAATGAAAAATACATAAAAATATAGAGAAAGTTATATAAAACATTATTTAAATAGCTTTATCAATAGGGTAGGTTAGGTT